GTCCTAATATTTGGAATGTGAAATTGCACGAAATTGAGGTCTTAGAATAACTAAATCACAGATGTAATATGTGGTTTTAAACTGGCTTTCGGCGATATAAAAGTTTCTTTTCATGCTTTACTCTGATTTATGAGCCCTTCATTGCCACAATGTTCAAAATTTCTGTGTAACAAAATCTTCTTTGAAGCAGAGAAAATTGTGCTAACAGGTTTTTGTATCTACTTTTCATTTTAGAGTAAAGCAGTGCTAAGTTTGGATGACCAAATGAGCACAAATACTTTGTGTTTTTTTCTTACCACTGAACTTCTGTAATTATCAACACATGGTCACTGAGTAAGCTGCTCTAAAACCTCAATAAAGTTTTCTGCCAGGTGTACGGCCAATGAAACCCCCTTTCCTCTTTTTTTCCAAATCTATCATCTTTTCAAAAGCTTCAGTATAAAGACTAACTTTGTAGAAAACCCTGAAAATAGGTAATCTGGCCTGAACTCATTTTTAGCAGGTTAAGAAATGGGTTTCAACTCAGATATTATTTTGCCTCCTTTTTTTAACATGGGGGTTTTTTATGGCTTCAAGCATGGAATTGGAATTTTATGGAATAAAAAATTCCATAAAATATGGAATTTTTAAAAGACACTAAGTTTATATTGAATGCTACCTCAACTAAACAATGCTATATCTTGTTTAAAATATACCTTTTCCAAATTTGTAACTTTTTCTCATATTACAAGAAAACAGTCTTTTAAGAAACGCTTAGCATTTTCAAGGTGTATGGAAGTTCTTGTTTAATTAGGAAAGTCTGTTTCAAGTATTCCTCACACATAAGCAAATAAGAAATTGATATAATACCACTTCTGTGCTATTTGTAAAGCAAGCTGTCTTGGAGGGTTTGTAGTCAATATTAATGTAGGTCTGAATTTTCCTTTCAAGAAAGAAAAAAACATTGATCATGAATGGAAGTTGGTTTCAGTTATCATAGCTTAATTTTAAATACACTGTGGGGAACAGTTATCAAAACTTAATTTTGAAACTTGATGCCAGCCTTTGTTTTATCACTGTCTGTTAAATATCCGGTGTGCTGACTGTGCCATCTGTTCTTCCTGTAGAGCATAAGAAGGAAAATTAATCACTCAGCCATCCAAAACACTGCGTGGTACTTGAATCAGATGCACAAGGATGGCATAACACTAACTGAATGGATATTACTTTGGAAGATTAATTGTCCTAGGGTGACTTTATGATGCTGAGTTGTATCCCCATTTGTCTGTTTAGCCCAGAAATAAGTTTTGGGCTTTAAAACTAGGTCTGAGAGTGAAGGGTGGGGGGGAGAATGAAAAGCAGTGGAATGTCTGAGGTGGTTGTTTTCAAAACATAGAGAGCTTCAGCATTTTTCTCTCCTGGACTGTGTTGTCTGCAGCACTGACGTACAGCAGGAGAAAGCTCTCCATTGCTTTTTAGTTAGTGTTTTTTAGCTAGCTGAGGCAGTGAAGTTCCCTGGACTATGTTTTTTCTTTTTCTTGGAACTGTTCAAACCTGCTCTGGACTGAAAACCCAGAAGAGCACCAGCAGCTCACACCTGTGGCCCACTGGGGCCTGGGATGTGGCATTTTCCAGTGCAGGAGGGACTGACGAGAGACTGAGCGAGCTGAGCTACAGCCCACAAGGACTTGCTGAATTTGCCATATCTTCAGAACAATGAGAGGTTTCATTGTTTAATATTATTTTTTTTATGCTTGCACATACTTTGCTTGTTAAATAAACAGCTTTTTCCACTTTTCTCCAAGGAATTTTTTTCCCAAACCACTTGGGGGAGGAGCTGCTTCGGTTTGCTTTCTGGAGTGACCCCATTTGAAGATTTCCTCCTAAATTCACCCTAAACCAGGACATTAATCTCTACAGAAGCTCTCTGAAATGTCATCTACCTTGCCTACTCTAGCTGGTTTCATCACAAATACAGATATCTCAGTCAATCCTTGGTTCAAGGAGGATTAATTTAAAGCTAGGCCTCTTAGAGCCACTTTTGATTCAAGGAGATCCTAGTACGTGCACAGCTGGGACTTCCAGGAACACTTTCAATTATTTAAGTAGTGTAATAATTTTTTAAAGGTGGAAGGCTTGCTTAAAATTTGGCTATGAGGTGCTCTGCAGTGTTTGATCTAGGATGGCCTACTTGTGGCTGGCTGCCTGTGCTTGTTCCAGGTGTAATATTTGTGCAAGCTCAGTGTCTGATTTGTCTCTTGCTTTCATATGGATCAATACAGATGAATCAATAAAGATAACCTTCAAATGCTGGCCTTTCAGGCAGGCTAAACAGTGGTTGCAAAAAGAGGAGTGTATTGCCTTGAAAACTGTCCTCTGCCTTCATCTCTCCTGTCATTTTCAGTTTAGTTTCTTGTTTTGCATAATGCTGTTTGTCTTAAGGAAAATCTGCAGACTGGTATCCCTTGGGGAGTTGACTCAGGCTTTACTCAGGGTCTGTTGTAACTGGAGTTCACGGAGATTGCACTTCAGACTTGCAAGAGCCAGACCAACAGCACAAGCAGGGCTGTTGATCCCTGCTGCTTATCCCATTGTGCAGGAAAAAAAATACGAAGTCAGAGAAGATAGATTAAGTTCATATCAGAAAAGTATTGTTACATGAGGGCTGCTTTGTGACCCCCCTACTTGTAAATGTGCTGTGGAGCAGAGTCCCTATCCCAAACTACTTTTCTTAAAACACATCAAAACTGGACTATCAGTGGTGAAAGCCCCTATAAGAGTACGGGAGTGCTGGGGGGCTGCCTGCTGCTTGAGCATGAGAGGAAGAGACCAGTGATGGATGCAGTTTTTAGGCACATGGGATGTCAAAACAAACAGACAGTGATATGAACAGCTATCTAACTTTATTCTTTGGCCGCCTGCCCAGATTTGAGGTGCTGCTAACTATGTAGCCTCTCCATGAAAGCTGTGGAAAAAAAGTGCTTGGAAATCAGATGTTTCCTGTTGGCAGCGCTCCCTTAGTCCCCGAGCACTAGGTCTTACTTGGGGGAACTACGGGCCCAAGGGAGGGGGAACAAGGCTCTGGAGGAACAGAATCTGCTGGTGCTTGAGGGGTTAGTTTAGGGGTATAGGAAGAGATCTGAATTCCCAACATTTCACAGTACCTGAGGAGTTTTAAAGTGTTATGTTTTTTTCTGGAGAGGGAAGGGTGAGAACAGCATCATGGAAGATTTAAATAGCTTGACCTGTATCAGAGTTGATAATTACCAGATTTCTGCAAGCTAAGTGGAGGAAAAATTTACTGCAGTGTGGAAAAAGATTACAGCACCGCTTATGAAGATACTGGGAAGTAAATAGCCCCAGATTAAAGACTGGTGAGTTTTGCAATGGCTGGATTGTAAAATAATGTAACCAAAAGCTTTATGAACAGGGACAAACAATTACCTTGCGCTCAGACGTCATAAGACAATAAAATAAAAACCTAATGGAAGCCTTACTTGAGTTGTACATTGCTAACACTTTATGTTAAGTATTAGTAAATAACTTCCAGTTCTTAAACATTAAGGCTTCAGAAGTAAACTTGTTTTCCTAAACTGCAGTTTAGAAAGAAAGGTTTAAAGACTTGCCTCAACTGTAAGACACCGGAAATCAAGTTACATAGCAGTTTTTTTCACCATGGTGATGTTCAGTCTACTAGGGAAATGAAAAAAATTAAGTGTGTGGTTCCCCTTCCCTCTCAGGCAAAGACATCAATAGAGGGGTTTACCTTTTGAAATACTGTCCAACAATTCTGCAAATCAACTTCTGTTTTCAAATGGAAGTTGCAAACAAGAAATATAAGATGCAGAGCAATACTGAGTTCAGATTAAGTCACATCCATATTCTTCTCTCTGCTTATCTAGCATTTGTATCTGGATAAATGGAATCCAGTGAGAGCTTGCTGCACATGCACGACAGGATGAAAAATTATTTGGAAAATTACTGCAAATTTGTGTTTAAATTCAAAAGGCATTAATTTAAGCTTTCTCATTCCAAATACTGACCCTGAAAAGCTGAGCCATAAAGTTAGCAACTGTGATCTCTCTCAGGAATGATCTAGTGAATGTCAGTCAAAGGGTTTGTTACAGGCTGTGGAAGGCTGCTAATGATGACAGAAGGGAAGTTGTGTGATATACACCTTAAAACAGAAATATTGAACTTAATAAAGGCTCTGCTACCCTCCCTGTGCCATTGTGCTTCATTTTCACTGTAAGCTGAAGTGGACCAAACTCCCTGAAATTCTTTGAGACTTTTTTGAGAAATTTCAACAAAAATACCAGTAACACTTCCAGTCAATGAAGGTTTGTTGTGAAAATACTAATTTTAATGCCATAGAACAACTTCTTGAAAACTATTTGCAGTTAATATGTGACTAGGTTTTGCAAAATACTTGTTAGAGTATATATATATATATATAAATAGTGTATTTCACCATTTGTTAGGCATTTTTCCTTGAGATACCCAGTTTCTTTTCACAGTTTCAATAGCTGCTAAGTCTGAAATCTAAACACAATTTGCCTTGCAGAGGGGTCTGCTTAGGGCCTGCCTGAGATGCTTTTGGGGGGGGGGGGGGCTGAATGTTCCTGTTGTGCATACGACCTGCGCACTCATGTTTTTGAGCTGACTAGCTACTCTTCACCTTTCTCCCAGACGATTCGGAAACGATAGCCTGGGCTAAGGCCTTAGAAGCCCCGCCCCGGGCACTCGCCCGCCTTTCCCCGGGAGCGGGAACCGGAGCGGGAGCGCTCCCGCTCACCGCCCGCCTCCCTCAGCCGCGCGCCCGCCACGCGCCGCTGCGCCGCCGGGAACGTGCGCCCGCGCGACGTGGCCCCGCCCCCCGCCGCGAGGCGCGCCGCTATTGGCCCCGTCCCCCCCGTGCCGGCGCTGTTGTGACACGTGAGGGCGGCGCACGTGGGGGCGTTATGTAAGGCGCAGGGGGAAGGGGCGGGGCCGGCACGCCGCGCGAGCTGCGGGGCCGCCGCGCATGCGGGGTGGGGACGAGGGGCGGGGCCAGGCCGGTCTGGCTGTGCTCTCTCCCGGACAGAGGCCCCGGAGGCTCCCGAGCGACAATGAAGCAGCAACAGCAGCCACAGCAGCAGCCGCCACCGCCGCCGCCGCCCCCGCAGCCTCCCCAGCAGCCGTCGCCTCCCTTCGCCAGCCCGGGCGTCCCGGCTTTCCTCAGCAAGCTGTGGGCTCTGCTGGGAGAGACCCCCAGCAACCAGCTCATCACCTGGAGCCAGGTCGGCCGCCCCCTCCCTCTCACCTCCTCCCCGTCCGCGTGTGGCGGAGCCCCCGCCATCACCGTGCGCCTCGCTCCGGCAGGCATCGGGGCCTGCTGGGGACCTCGGCGTGCCCGTGGGGAGGAGGGAAAATCAGGGCACGGCCACATGGCTTGGTTGGGCCCGGGCCGGGCCGGACTGAGCTGAGCTGAGCTGCTCGACAGAGGCCAGCCCCACTCAGCCCTCAGCCTCTCCCTTGTTTTTTTAACTGTGGAGTAGGAGCTCCGGTGCCCGCCCTGGGGGCGCGTCCCCAGCACCGCTGCGGAGGGTGGGGATGTCTGTCTGTCTGGCGGCTCTGACTGAGCAGGCTCGGGCGTCCGGGGGGGTGGGAAGGGGCCCGGGAGCCGGAGGATTTTGCCGTGCGGGGAACGTGGAGCTGCGGGGGGATTTCCCACCGTGGGGTGGTGGGTGCGCCAGGAACGGGGCTCTCCCTCTGTTAGCCGGGGCTGCGGGAGAGCTCCGGAGGATGGGAAGAGCGGCGTGCTCAGGCCTGGTGGTGTTTCCTGTGTGCTGCCCGCGGGGCCGGATCCCGTGGGGGCGGCCACGTGTGCCATGGCCGGGGGCTTCCCGGGCTCGGTGTCCACCTGCTGGGGTGGCGGGAAGGGGGTGGGCCACGGGGGAATTGGGCACCAGTCTTCTTACAGTGCAAGGAAGGCCTGTCAAGTTGCTACAGTGAGCATCACTGACAGTTGTGCTAAAACCTAAGCACGTATTTTAATAATAGCTACTTAATTTTTTTCCCCTGTGTTCTGTTTTCAATAAAATCTTGTTCTCAGATCGTATCAAAATCTTTAAGTGGTACTGAGTGAAACTCAATTGAGAGCTTCTTATTTAAATGCTCTAGAAATAATGAAATGTCTTAAATATTTTACTGAAAATTGTTTACCAGTACCTTCAGCCAAAATCTCCCAAAGAGCGAAGCAGGAGGCCTCAGTAGATTATGGCAGCTTTTCTTTATTTTTTTCCATTTTGTTTTGTTTTAGGGTGGGAATTTTTGTGGGTGGTTTTTTTAGGGTTTTTTTTTATTTTTGGAAGAGAGATACTAAAGGCTGTATGAAGATTGATATTGTCTGTATTAAAAAATGCTGATTTTGCTGCCTTATTCTTTTAACGGAGTATTTCCAAATCCATTGTTTATGTTTATCTAAAGTAAACATACCAACACTTGTGTAGGTATCCTTGTGTTATTTTTTTAATTAAAAACAGTAAAAATAATTGTTTGAGATTCTGCAAGGCTGTTTGTAGAGGGGAAGGTCCACCCATCACAGTTGATATTATTAGCAACCAGTTCATGTAGGGGGAGATATTGGGATTGCCTGTGATATGGGTGAGGAGAAACAAATGAAGCACTTGGAGGACTGCTGTATGCTGGGGTCGTTGGCACTGGGAGTTGACAATTGTATTTAGCTGTGTAGTGAAGCTTACAGGCTTAACGTCTGTACAGCTTTGCTGTAAATGACTGTCAGGGCAACAAGAGCTCCTGGATGTGTTTTCCAGATTCTGTTGCTAGGCCTGGGCAATGTTAAGGTGATGATAAAGTGAGGCATCACATGGAAGTTGGTGTCACAGGTCGCTGTAGTGTCACTTGGTTCAGCACCTTCAGTTTGTGAATTTCACACACAGCATTGGCTAAAATAGTATGTTCTTGCCATTTCTTCTGCTTCTTCCCCTTTTGCTTCCATTGATTGATTCTCAGCAGGAGGTAGGTAGGCATTACTGGAAGTTTTAATCTCCCTGCCTTTCTCTCAGTGTTAAGGCCTAAGTCATCCAGTGGAGAGCCATTTGTAACATCCTGTTTCTGATGCTCTCTGCTGATTTGCTGGAACAAGCTGTTGTGGTTTAACCCCCACTGGCAGCTAAGTGCAGCTCAGCCACCTGCTCACTTCCCCGCACCCTGGCAGAGAAAGTAAAACTCCTGGGTTGCGATAACCATTTAAAACTGAAATGAAGTAAAGTATGTGATAACAATAATAAAACAGAAAAACAAATGCCCAGTACAGTTGCTTACCAGCTGCAGGCTGGTACCCATCCGAAAACAGCAGTTAGCCCTCCTGCTGGATAACTCGCCCAGTTTATGTATTGGGCACGATTTTTCTGGTGTGGAATATCCCTTTGCCCAGTTTGGGTCATCTGTCCTGGCCATGCACCCTCCAGCTTGGGAAGCTGGAAAGACCTTGACTTAGGGTAAGCACTGCTTAGCAACAACTAAAACTTCAACTTACTGTCAACATTCTCTCACTGAATCCAAAACTCTGCAATCTACCAGCTACTAAGAAACAAATTCATTCTATCCTAGCTGAAACAAGGACACCTGCCTTTGGACATAGGACCTTCATATGGTCTTACAGTTGGTTCTTTAAGCTTCTTGGTATCACAGAGCTGCTGGCATTTGAGGATAAGAGAAGTGACTCATTAAGAAGGCCTCTTAAAAAGATGCAGGAAAAGTGTAGACATCTGTTGAAGATAAGACTTTATATTAACTACTACAGGGTGAGAGTGTCGTGGATGTGTAGACAACCTGAACCATTTTGAAGTAGGTAATTTGCATTCTGCCTATTACTTGCCCTGTAGTTAAATGGAGTGCAGTTACTGAAGAACAAAGAGCTGATCCTTCTATTTTAGTTAAAGCCTGTGGATTAAATAAAAGATCACTCTTCCCTCACAATTGGCATTCCAGAAGGGGAATTTTGCTTTATGTGGCTACCTTTTTGGTAACTCTAAAACCCAGTGGACACCCTCACCTCACCTCTTTGACAGCTCCATCTGCTCTACAGGTCCTACCAAACCAATCATGCTTTTATACTGAAAAGCAGACAGGACTGTCAGCTGGTTGTTGGTATTTTTTCCTTTCTCAGGTTCTTTGTTAAGATTCCTTACCAGGGCTTCAAAACTACATTCTAAATTGATAGTATTGTCCTGTAGTGAAACTGTGATAATTGCTGGTTAACAATTACTTCATATTTTGATAAAGCAGTGTGTAACAATAGAGATGTTCCCCTTCAGGAAATGATGTGAATTGATAGTAAGTACTCAGTTGCTTTGCAACTGCAAGGTTTGTACCCTTTTTGTTTTGGAAAGTTGTAGGCAAGCAGATCAGTAATGTACTGCATGCACAAAGGAAACATTCCAATCTGGTGATTAATTCTAAAAGCCCAGTGTGTTTTCTGCTATGGTTTTTAAGTAGTTTAATGTGTCTCTCTCATTTTAGAATGGAAAGAGTTTCTTGGTGTTGGATGAACAGAGATTCGCAAAAGAGATTCTTCCCAAGTACTTCAAGCATAACAACATGGCAAGCTTTGTCAGACAGTTAAACATGTGTAAGTTGCTGGATTTTTACATTCTAGCACAGTTCTAAATCTTGTAAATAAAAGTTAAGTTATAATTTCCTTTGAGCAGTGGCTTTGTGTTCTCTTCAACTAGGATACTGTCTTATCCTCAAAATTGGTAACAGGATAGTTGGGACAGCATACTTTGAATTTATTAATGTGGGGTTTGAGGTTTTTCTTTGCTTTTGTTTTTTATTTTTTTAAGATGGCTTCCGTAAAGTCGTCCATGTTGATTCTGGAATTGTCAAAATGGAGCGAGACGGTCCAGTAGAGTTTCGGCATGCATATTTTAGGCAGGGCCGGGAGGACTTGCTGGAGCACATAAAAAGGAAGGTTAGTGAAAATCCAGTATTTGGAAAACCTGTACTATTCAGTACTGATGAATAGCTCAGTTGATGTCAAGTTTAACTGCAGGATTGTGAGTGCAAATAAGTTCAGACTTTATGGAAACAAACTGCCCTGCTTTCATTTATACCTTGAGCTTGTTTAAAGATATTTTGGGGGATTTGACAAGGTTTTTTTTATCTGCTTTGCTGTCGTTATAGTAAAGTTTCACAGGTGGCAAGAAAGCATGAGTTATGTAATATGACAATTTGCAGATGAGTTTTACAAGTGCAGAGCATGCTTTGACTTTACCATCAGCAATGTAAGAAACTGCTCATTTATGTAGCTCGTTTCAGAGCAAAGCTACTGTAAGCCTTAGACTGTACACCCAAGAGAAAGGGGCAGACCTATAAACACATTCGGTATGCTTCTGAAATGTGCTCTGCTGTTACTGAGTCAAGTGAATAAGATGTCAAAGAGAAAAATGGCAGATGAAACTGGATGTCATGGTTAACTCCAGCCAACAGCCTAGCCCCACACAGCCACTGCTCGCTCCCCCCATGTCAGGATGTGGGAGTGAGTTGGGAGAGTAAAAGTAAGAAGACTCATGGGTTAGGATAAAGGCAGTTTAATAAGTAAAGCAAAAGCTACACACCCAAGCAAAGCCGAACTGGGAATTCATTTAGCGCTCCCCATGGGCAAGCAGGTGTTCAGCCATCCCCAGGAAAGGAGGGTCTCATCACATGTAATGGTGGCTTGGGAAGACAAATGTCATCATTGTGAACATCCCCCCCATTTCCTTCTTCTTTCCCTCAGTTTTATGTACTAAGCATGACACCATATGGTATGGAATGCTCCTTTGGTGAGGTGGGGATAACTGTCCCAGCTGTGTGTGTGCCCTCTCAATTTTTTGTGCAGCCCCAGCCAGCTGGCTGGTGGAGTAAGGTGACGAGCAGAAAAGCCCTTGAGTCCATGTGTAAGCACTGCTCAGCAGTAACAAAAGCATCTTTGTATTGCCAACACTGCAGCACAACTCCACAAGTCCAAAACACAGCCCCGTGTTTGCTGCTATGAAGAAAATTACCCCACACCAGCCAAAACCAGCACAGAGTGATGTGCTTGTTATCACCAGGTTATTGTGATGCAGTTATGGTGAAGTAGAGCACTTGGGAAAATGCCTGAAGAGTCAGGATTGTACACAAATATTTGTAACAACTGAAGCTGATATGGTGATAGTTGTGTTTCTGGTTTGGAGTTTTTTTGGATACTTGTTTTATTATTAAGAGTGTATTTTGTTAACATTATACTTGATCACCAAAAGAGAATAATAGTTAAGCATGAGTTAAGGGAACTGTTGTTTCTGGATTCTAATCTCTTAAAGGTTTCTTCTTCAAGACCTGAAGAAAACAAGATCCGTCAGGAAGATCTCTCTAACATAATATGCAGTGCTCAAAAGGTGCAAATTAAGCAAACGACTATTGAAGCTCAGTTGTCTCTTTTGAAGAGGTAAGTTGCTTCATCAGTATCTGATCCTTTATGCTGAGTAATTGTGATACTAGATACTGGACAAAGACATAATTATATGTGTCTCTTGAGTTCTGGTTGCCTAATTTCAACTATTGCTTTAGGAACATAAACTTCTATAGAAAAATTGCTTTAAAATTAAACTTTTTGATATTATTAAAAGTTACAGGCAATGCTGGTGTTTGTAGACCTGTCTAGTAATAGGCAATTAAATAACACCTTTAATGATAGTTCCATATAGATGCTGAGTCTGAATATTTAAATCAGCTCTTAGTATAAAGAGTATGCTGGTTTTTGTCTTCAAGTTTGAAATAGTTACTGTATTTTGAGTTACTTAGAATTTTTAGTTATTTAGAATAGTTACTGTTTTTTTCTGTTGTTTTTGTCCTCATTCTCCTCCTGTTTAAAATTGTAGAAAAGCTAATACCTAGGAAAATGTGTTTAGAAAATCTCATTTGGAAATTCATTAGTTGCCTTGTTGACAGAGAAACAGAATTCAAAATCCAAATGTAAATAGAGTTTTTGTAGAATTTCATTACTGCCTGCTTAGAAGTTATGATTTATTCTCAACAGTGAGAGAGATGTGGGTCACAAATTACTTAATCCTTTAGAATATGTAGATACAGACAAGATACATAAAGTCATGCATTGTAAGTCACATCACCTCAGTAGAAACTCTATTAGAGTTTCTATTCCTTCTTCTAGAAGATGGTCTCATGACAGTGTACCTCTGTGGCGCAGGTCACTGATTAGTTCAGGTTGTAAGAAGTAAATTCAGAATATCTCACTTCTGCTATTAATTTTGTGATGGAACTGTACTCTTAAATTGTGTGTTGGGCATAGGAGCACTTTGAGGAGCGGGAAGTACCCTTCATCACACTGCATATGAGCTGCTGTTTCTGAAAAATTGGTTTAAGGTTTCCTAAAACCCCATACACCAGTGGAGTTTGCTTCTTTGTGTTGAAAATTAAACTACAAAAGATAGGAGGGTGGTATGTTCTCTACCCATATTCATTGAAGCTTTTGGTACTCATTATCTACCTCTTAACGTGGCATACACTGTTGGAAACAAAAAGGCTCATGGTTACAATAGGGCAGATTTTACACTGGCTCAGTAACTGGAGTCCTGTGAGTACTGGAAGAACCAAGGTTTCTAAAATGGCAGTGTTCCATGAAAACTGCTACCTCTGACATGCCCCTGTTATTTTTTATCACCTAACATGCCTGTTTACTGGAGCTAATAGAAGTAACTGTTGAATGCTGATAGTTAATTTTTAAATGCTGTATGTATGGGTAATGACTATTGCCAAATTTGAGAATTTTTTTTTTTTCCTTTAAAGCAGATGGAAATGCTCTGCAGGCTATTTGTTGTGTTTAGGTCTTTGTTTCACCGTTACTTTCCAAGGCTGCTTGCTGCCTGTGTGACACTCCCACACCGACCCCCAATCTAGAAACACATTTCAAAGAGTTTTAATGAAGCCAACTGATCTTTAACAAAAATTAAATACTAGTTTTAGTGTGACTTTTAAATCATCATTTTTCAACAGAGAGAATGAATCCCTTTGGAGGGAAGTGTCAGAACTGAGAGCAAAACACTTGCAACAGCAGCAAGTTATTCGAAAGGTAAGGCTTCATTCAAGTGTCGCGTGTGCTTGAGTGAGTGCTTCTGAACTAGGAATGCTTTGCCACGTTACCTTGCTCTCTGCCCTCATTCAGGTTTTTATAATGTCAGATCTCTCTTTAATAGAAAAAACAGCAGGGTTGTATATGATGAACAAACCCTGTTGATACAAATATTCAAGGTATTTTATTGCATAAGCAGAAAATAAGGCCAAAGTCTTGTAAACATTTCAAGAACATCCTACATCGGTTATTAAGTTACCCTTAATATGGTCCATCCATTTTTTTATTACTTTGGGAATCAGATGTCTAATTCTCTGTCAGCTGCTCAGAAGAAACTTTCTCACTGCAATTAAAAGATTCTGTATTGGAAGTTCACTGCTGCCCCACTTAACTGACCTGCTGACTGTATATTCCTGGTTACCAGAGGAATAGATAATTGAGTGGAACCTATTGATAATAAGTTAACTTACATTATTTAACAGTTAGATTTATGATCTACCAAAACTGATATAAATGCATAGAGTTTAGAGTTCTATTTTTTTAACATATCAGAAAGGTCATCACTGCAAGTGGCCTTGGCTACTAAATTTTTTCCCAGTTTCTTCAAGCCAGATACGTACTTTAAAGCCTTAGATTTGAAGCACAAGACAAGGCTAACATTTCAGAAGGAAAGACAGCTGATGAATACTGTGAACTGTACATGTAATTTTTTTTTCTGAATCTGTCAAAAATGCCCTTCACCAGAACCAGTATTTACAGATTCAGGTTATGCATATGGTTGACATCTCTACATGCCTTTTGTCATTGTTAGAGTTCTTCAAATCATTTGAGTTGCTGCATGTCTTTCTGTGTCTTGTATGATGTTGTGTAAAAGCTGACTCTTATCACCTGCTATGTGAAAAGCCTAACAATTGAATAACTATTTAAATATTATCAGCGCTGGTTTTTACCTTGAGTTTTAGGTTTTCTGAGCAGCTCTGCATAAAAGTTATTATACGAAGAAAGTGGTTTGCTGTTTATGTATATTGTTTATGTTTTATTATTGGTGTCTTTTGCTATAAGATGCCTTGGTACTTAAGAGAAACAATTACAAGTAAAGCAACCAACAACAGTGTTCTCTCTCTTACAGATTGTTCAATTCATTGTTACCTTGGTGCAGAATAACCAACTAGTGAGCCTAAAACGGAAGAGGTAAATATGATCTTGAAAACTTCCTGTCCACTTGATAAACTGACAGGCCTTGTTGACTAATTACCAAAGAGGTGGGTTTGAGATGCCCTTCTTACTTTACTCTTTCTTATGTAGACCTCTACTTCTGAACACTAATGGACCTACAAAATCGAATGTATTTCAGAAAATTGTGAAAGAACCAGCTGACAGTAGCCACCATGTAAGTTTTCTGTTATGGATACTCTCTGGATGGTGTGCAGGTGGGCAGATGGATCAAATTCATTGTTGTACGGAGACTATAACACAGCTGTGTATTGAGAGCTGTCAGCTTGTACAAATGATAGGCTGTGTTGTTTCCTTTCAGAAGCTGAAGGGGTTGATAATCACCATTCACTTTCCAGCATAAGCACGTATAAACCAGTTACATGTGTATTAAATAATGATTGTGCTGAAAGCAGTTTCCTTTTAAGAGTGGTGCTGTTAGAAATAGCATGTATAATGTCACATTGTTATCTCTGGAATGTGGCATCCCTGGGCCCATACAGGGACATGGGTCCAGTGTGTTGCTCTGCAAGGCAGTACTCAACCCAGCAAAATCATATCGTGTTCCTGTTACATTTGAATGAGTCACTGAAAGTTGTTTTCTGCTGAACAGATAATAATCTGTGAGGAAATTGTTACAAGCTCTGTAGTATGGCACTAGAATTAGTAGCTTTATAACAAAGTACTATTTAAACAGCAGTCACTGTTTTAATATTTTTTGTTCTAATATCTGACAGTGCTAGTATAATTGGTTGTATTTACCAGTTCTTTTTTCTGTAGCTTTTATTCTGCAACTTGTTTATTTACTTGTATGGCTTTTTCTATTAAACATAGATGTGTACAAACAGCTTGTAATCTGCAAGGTGTAGAAAAGCTCTTAGACTTCATTAGATGTGAAGCATTGTAAGATACAATGATAACTGTCAAAATGCTGAAGCTCATTGTCCCTCTGTGCCCTGACTCCTTTTTAAAAATAATTCTCAGGTACCTCTCAACAGAAATGAGGGCTTAAAACAAAGGGAACAGATTTCAGATGACATTGTTATTTATGATGTCACTGAGGATGTGGGTGAGGAAGAACATCCCATGGCTGATGAAGAAAATCTTCCCGTTACACCAGAAACAATTGAAGATACCACTTCAGATTCTTCCAAGTAAGAAGTCTCAAGAATTGTGTGTTGACAAATGACTTTCAGTGTTGTATAAGATGCACTAATTCAGATGTCTTAGATAATTTTTTTAGTGAAGTGGTTAGAATTATTCAGCACTCCTGCACAAACAGAAACTTCATCTTTGAATTCACACTAGCTTTTGACTTATTGACCTCTGGATTTGTTCCAAAATAGTTAATTGTCTGTTGGAGTTTTAATATCAGGAGGATAGATGTACACTGGTGAAAACAATCTGTATTATTGCATAATAGTTAAAATATACTAAAGCCAGCATAAGAGAAGTCTTTACTTTTTGGTTATGTGTACAGACAGGAACAACTTCCCTTGTTTTTCTCAGTTTTTGTGGAGAAAAAATTACATGTGGTGTTTGTCAGGTTTTGGTGTGGGCTTTGCATTAAGCTAATTAATTTCAGGGTTCTGGGTTTTTTACTGCCCATTTGTTTTGGGGATTGTATTCCTTCCTGTCTGTACTCCAATACTACAGAAGTTCTTAATCTTTCAGCTACAGCCAAGTTGAAAATCAGTCCAGGGATTTAGATGTAACTCTCTTCTTGAGTAGCATTGGACTGATAGAGCCCGTATTATGCCTCAAGGAAAAAAAAATAATATTTGTAGATTCTACTTGAATTGGCACCATTGTTCTTGCTCAGCTGATGCCTGGGAATGCATTCTTTGATAGAAAAGCTTAATGAGAAAAAGGCTGTGATGGAGAGGCAACATAACTAACAGCTTCTTAAGGGTTAAGAACTAGAATAGGCATGAAAGCAAATCATTTGAGGCTCACTCTTGGTTCTCAGGTTTTGTTCCTGGTGTGCATAATAAGGTTAACTACAAACCTGTTGACTGGGATGCTTTGTTATGGGTGCTCCAGAGTAGATGCTGTTCAACAGGAAATACGCAAAATATAAACTGTCTGTCTGGCTTGATGACCTTGTATGATTTTGTTCATACTTCACATTTACATGCAAGCTTATCTTTGTTCCAGTGACAAAAGTGTCAGTGTTCCTATAGCTCTTTAGCAGTTGGTTACTGTAGTCTGGCACAACAGTGTCTGCTAACTGAGCTGCATTAATTGTATTGATCATTAGAGAACCGTATCAATGGAAAATAGAAACTTCAAGTATCTTGCTGTGTTTAGTATTAAAAAGCAGTAGAAAAGTTTATTTCCTGATAGTAGCTTGAATAGTAGCTTGACTACAGTGAGAGGTAACTAAACCTGTGGAATAATACCCATTTAAATGTGTACGAAATGCTGTAATTAATTTATCTCACATTACAGCTGTAGCTGTAGCTACCATTCTCCTGATATTGTAATTGTGGAAGATGATAACGAAGATGAATATGCCCCTGTAATTCAAGGGGATAAAAACACTGAATCAGTTGCTGTCCCAGGTAATGATCCAGCCAGCCATGTCAGTGACAGCACAAGCCCACTCATGTCAAGTGCTGTACAGCTGAATAACCAGTCAACTTTAACTGCAGAAGACCCAGTCTCTGTGATGGATTCCATACTCAATGAAAATGGAGTAATTTCACAGAATATAAATCTTCTTGGAAAGTGAGTAGTCTGATCTTTTGTTTTTCTAGTATTAGAACTGATTATTTGACTGAAGTAAAAAGAACTGAATACCAGTTTCTACTGAGAACTTTAAACTTACAGGCTACTGTTACTCCAGCCAGTTTCTGAAGATCCTTCTGTTTTAAGTATTTTAAGATGTGACCTCTGATTTTATTTGTTAATTGAGTCAGTTGAGATGTTTAATCTGGCAGTGTAATGTTGTGGAGATTATTAAACCATCAGGATTTATTTTTGTCATTCCTGCAGGTGGATTAGACTCATTAGGGCTATGCAAGAGTTGCATCTCTGCTAATGTCATGTAATAGTGTTGACGTGATTCCTGTGATACCTATTCCAGAGCACCCATCTGCTGACTGGGGTTCTCTCTAAAGAGGCTAAAAGTCTTCATTTTTCCAGAGGTCATTTCTTGTGAAAGACTTAGTTCATTCTAGTTCTGGTAAAGATTTTGAGATGCATGTAGTACATCTGTGTAAAGCTTACTTAAGGATTTCTCTTACTTTATTAAGGGATACAGCAATAAAATACTGTTTGCCTTCTAGAGTTGAACTTCTGGATTATCTGGACAGTATCGACTGCAGTTTAGAGGACTTCCAGGCTATGTTGTCAGGACGACAGTTCAGCATAGACCCAGATCTCCTGGTTGATGTAATTTTGACTTAAAATTAAGTATATTCATAATAGGCTACAGGAAACATTTGTGTGTATTGTTGCTGTTTAATATGGATTTAAATCACAAATGATCTTTCTTTTTCCTTCCCTTTACAAAGCAAAGTTATAAATATTTGTGAGTTTCTGGAGCACTGGTACAGGTCTTAATGCTACACCACTGCTCAAGTGAATGCTTAAGTTTCTTACTGAACAATGTCTTTCTTAATGAAATAATGCTTATATTTACTGTGATGTGAACTTAGATGTCAAGTCAATTAATACTGTTGCTTGGAAATAACCCAGCACATTATCTTTAGTCTTCTCAATGAACTGGGCTTAAAAAGAACCTTCCTCCCTGTAGAAAGACCATGTTGGTGGCTGGTGGCGGGGTGTTGTCTGCCATGACTCACATGTCCCTTCTGAAGTGCTGCTCCCTGTCCATTTGTTCCTTAAGCCTAACCTGGGCCCCAGTGCATGAGGTTACTCGGTTACTCGTGACATGTGGCTGCTGGACCTGCTTTTGGCCCCCCTCCACTTCAGATCCCTCTTAAAAGCACTTCTGCTCTCCACTTACTGATGGCTCCTTCCAGCTTGGTGTAACTTGCAACTTCATCCATATTGCAGACAGAATTATCCATGTAGCAGTGTAGAAATTGGTGTTTTAAGGCTCCAGCAAACCATGTTAGATGCCATACAGTTGTTTCTTTTGTGATCAGGGTTCATGGAATTCCAAATACACTCCAGTCCTCATAGAGGGTGGAATAAGTATAGGGGTTTTTCTCACACATGCAGAAGCAATGGTCTTTTATTCTTAATAGCAACACTGAGATACCTAAAACTTGGATGTCTTTTGTCTTATTCAGCTTTTTACAAGTTCTGTGCAGATGAATCCCACAGATCATGATCATATCACTAATACAAAAGTAAGTCTTAAATCCATTGCTCAACATACGCAGTAGTGAGAGATGCAAAATTCACTCATCTTTTGCTGTTTTTTTTACTGGAATCATGGCACTTTGTGCTCTGGCTTTTAAGACTTGCATGAGAATAGGAAGACTGCAGCTGACTTCATCCTGTTGGGCTTTAAACAGCAAAGGAAAAAACACCCTAATTAATTAATTTATGTCCTTTAAAACTTGTATTACCTCTGCATTATACCAGTCTCTTAACTTTTGTATACCCGAGATTTTTTTTTTATTTGCAAACATGGTATGCACTTCTATCAGAATGGTTTCATCTGTATTGTCTGGTGGGAAAAGAAACCAGTAATAAGCAGTGAGGCAAAGATGTAGTACTTTGAATTTGTCCAGTTCATTTAAACCATTAGTCTTGGTTCTTGCTTTGTAGCCTGTGTTTCCATTTCATGTTTTCTCAGCCAACCTGTGTTAGTGTGGATAATACTGATTATGCCACTGCATCTTACCACAAATAAAAAAATAATGTTTGTCATAGTTGTTTAGCTGTTCTCCAGTGGCATTGGAACTTTAAAAAGTTTAAAGCTTTAAAAAGCTTTAAAAGTGTATTTTAAAAGTTTGCTTTTGTTCCCAGGTGGAGACAAAGGGAAAAGAAACTAACAAGAATAATGCTGGTCCAGCAGCCTCACAGGAAACGCAAGGTACTAAGCCCAGATCAGGTTAGTTGTCATCTGTTGAAACATTTCCACAGTTGAACAGTACTCTAAAAGCCATCTCAGTTATTTACTCCTTATCTGATTTTATGTTATGTTGATGAATAACCAAAACACAATACTTAGTATATTTACTTTTTAGATTTTTTTCTCTGCAGAGAAACTCATGTTTTGCATGTGAATCTGCACTAATAATGTTATGTATGAACATGACAATTCTTTAAAAACACAAACGCCCATCTCTTTTTAGTAATTATTCTTTAAATAAGTACTGTGGGTTGGATTTTGTTTTTTCCTTCTGCATGTAGAAAGGCATATGAATTGATATTCTGGTCATTTTCTTTCCGCACAGATAAGCAGCTGATACACTACACTGCGTTTCCACTCCTTGCATTCCTCGATGGGAACCCAGGTTCTGCTCTTGAGAGTGGGGGCTTCACAGCTGAAACTCCTTGCACTGTTGAAAAATCCCTGGAAGGGGATGAGCTCCTGGAGAGCAGCCTGGATCCCCAGCCCACCCAGAGCAAACTGGTGCGTCTGGAGCCACTGACGGAGGCAGAGGCGAGTGAGGCCACGCTGTTCTACTTGTGCGAACTTGCCCCAGCACCCATGGACACAGACATGGCCTTCTTGGATAACTGATTGAGGGAGGCTCTGTATATAGTCATGAAGATGAACTATTTATTTAGAATATTGTTTGGTATGAGAGTTTTTTGTACATCACTGTTTTATGTAACCAGATATGTGGAATCTGAAGTACCTTTCCTATCCTATACAAGCAGTTGTTTAGCTATGGAGTTAGACAAGCCACCAGGCACAGCTGGCACTGCTGAGCCAGGCTCCTGCTGCACTGCTGTGAACACTTGGTGTTGCCCACATTGCTCGTACTACAAGTAACCAACACTTGTCAATAGTGAGCTTTGGTTTATGGTTTCTTATACTTCTTGTCTTACGTATGATGACATAAACTAGTAGTGTATGGTTAGGGAACACTGACTTTCTGTATTTTGGGGGGTTTATTTTTTACATTTTGTTTAACACACATGAGGCTTTTTTGGGGTGGGGGGACCAGGACCTGATGTAGGCTTTTTTTTTCCCTGCTTCAACTGGGAACAAAGTGCCTGTACCTTGCTAAATCTTGGTTCTGCCTTACTTTCACTTCAGTGGAAGTGCTCACACATAGCACAAACTGGGGAAAAGTTCTTGACAGCTGCCAGGCCCCATGACTGCATGAGTACTTTTAACTTGGACCATCTATGCTGACAAAATAAATGTTACTTAAGTGTGATACATGCTCGTCTCTTATTCTGTGTGTCAGGTGGTTATGGATTTAACAGCCTCTTGTTTTCCTATCATAGAAGCTGTGGAAGGTCTGCTGTTTCCAGCACAGTTGCTGGAAAATAGTTTCCTTATCTCCAGCCTCGTGGGTTTATTGATAAGCCTCCAAAACAAGAGAAACTGGGTTTCAGTAACTTCATACATGGAACACAAAAACCACATTGCCCAGCTCTGGCAGTGGCTCCAGGGTTTTTTCCCAAATGAGTAATTTGGCCACTTGCACAAGGAGCTGAATCCATAGACAGAGCACTGCTCATCTTCTGAATTCAGCAACTTGTTCTTTGTTACAGGACTCAAGAACTGCTGTAGTAGAAGTGGTGTTCAGGTGTTTTACCCAAATTTAAACAGGTGTGTGTAATCCAGTGAGGTGGCAGCAGTTGATGAAGCAGGAATGCAGTTCCAGGTGCAAGGCATGTTAGTGTTTGCTGGGACATAGCTGCCAAGCCATAGAACTGTCAGAGAACTTCACCCAGGAGGTAACACTTGACCTCCCAAAAGAGCCAGGGACTGCCAGGTGTGCTCTACAGCACTGTCAGCTCTTCTCAGAACCTGAGAGTGCTACAAAGCATTCCCAGAAGAGGACCCTTGAAACAGCCACATCTGGCAGCAGCACGAGACATCAAAAGTCATGGGACATCTTCATCCAAATTTATTTATTAATACGGTAACAACATCTTCCAAATTACTACAAGCCTTTACTAATCTTTTCATTACTGCCTCAAGTTGGACTTCACATGTCAGACTTTTTGCAGTAAGTGTCAGTGTTCAGGTGCAGAATTAAAATAAAGAATAGCAACAGGAAGTCACAGTTACAAACACCACAGAAAGGTATGAGCATGACATCTGCAGGCTCCAGGGTCACTCCCAGTCAGGCTAGGCTCAAGTTGTAGCAAGTAACAGAGAAATTATGCAGCTTATGTACTTCAGTTACAAAGCAGCAAGCACAAAAGCATTTTAAGATTTTGGAACTGCACAGGCACTATGCCTAGATTTAGACTTTCTAGGCTCAAGTCCACCTCTGGCAATGGACAACAAGCAAAATACCTAATACAGTATAAGATTTCAAGATTCAGAGCCCCAAATATTTTAAGAAACCCTTCAGTAGAAGCCTCAGTAAATGCAAACCTCCTTCTTTAGTTATTGTAACTTCAGTGCTCCTTTTTCTCCACTTTTTTTAATCACAATACTCAATTCCTCCAAAGGGCTTACGCAGCTTTTACCACTCGGCTCCTTGCAAACTTCATGATTGTAGCTTAGCCAAGAAAGTGGCACACAAAACAGCAATAAATTACAGCACAGCTATGCTACGTAAACTACTTCAAAAACCAATAATACTATGTAGATGCACATTGTAAACAGGTGCCTTAAAAACATGCTTCTGAGCATCTGATACCAGGGTATTTCTCCCCAGGGTGTCTGTCCTGTGTGCAATGGGACACACTGGACTGGCTCCTCCACAGCTCCAGGTGCAAGTTTCCCCCCTCACATCTGTGCTGAAGGTACTGCTGCCCTCGGCATGGAAAAAGTCAGGCTGGTAATGCCAAAGTGCTGTGAGATATCCAGTGAACCGCAACGTGCTCCACTCTAACACTTACTCAAGGCTTACTTTGGAATCAAGGCAACGGGCATCATCAAAGGCAGACCCTTCTTCACTTGCAAAGCTTGACCTAGCACTGTTTAATAACCCTAATTAACACTTGCACTTTTTTTTCTACAACCATTTAATGCAATTGAGGGGAAAAAAACATACTTCCAAAAGCTCTTGATCTTACATCTTGTGCTCTCAAAGTAGGAGTAATCCTATGAAAACCATCGTTAGAGCAATTACCATTGAGCTCAGCTAGAAAAAGTCATTTCTTGAAATGACAAGACATGATTCAAGGTAATCATGCAGGATAAAGCAGGGAATACTACCTGGACAGCACACACACATGTATTTACACCCCCACTATTACCCGGAATACTGTTTGTTTCAGGGACACGTGGCGCTAACACAGCCTCCCTCCAGAGCAACACAGCTCAGTCAAAGTCGCGGTTGGTGAGAACCAGCGGAGCCACCAGAGTCCACACGTACAGCACGATGCCAATCCAGCTGGAAGAGATCTTCACCCACACGGACGGCCACTTGCTGGTCATTGTCTCATAAGAAGAATCCGGACTGTGAACCAAGGAAGAGAAAAAGGATCATTTGCAATTTTTTTCAATATAACATACTTGTGTTCTAAGCTACCCTACAACACTGTTTTCACAGAAGATCATGGATGGAGTCCTGGCTCCATCCTCTTTGCACACCTGCTTCAGGTGTTTATATACATTGGTGAGACACCCTTGGACTTTCTCTTGCTCAAGATGAACAGTCCCAGCTCTCTCAGCTTCTCCTCATAGCACATATGCTCCAGTCCCTCAATCATCTCTCTGGCCATTTGCTGGACTCTCTCCAGTATGTCCATGTCTGTCTTGTACTGGAAAGCCCAAGAACTGGAGGAGTTGGGAAGAAACACCTCCCCTTTGACCTGTTGATATAACATGTCCTTTTTCTAGCTCTCTGTACTAGACGTGGGCCCAGTGTTTACTAATTTTTAATTGTTATATAATTGAAGACTTTATCCTGTTCACTTTAGCAGGATGTATTTCAGCAGTTCAGTGAACGACAAGCATCATCCTAGAAAATATGGCAGGCACTTGTGAACAAGGTTGGCTACAATTTTCAGATACACTTCCCTTGAGAAGGCCCACTCAAGACCTACATTCCAGAGCATGCAACTTGTGCCTCCTTGTCCAGCAAGAGATGGCCTCTTGTATGCTCATTATCAGCACAACATCTAATCAAACATAAATACCTGTACCAGTTGGTAAGTGTCATCATGATATACAGTGATGCCAGGAAAAGCATGAAGTGGAAGAAGGAGTAACTGTAAGTAACTCCATCCCTCTCATTATCTATAGCTCGGTGAACATCATCTCCATCATCAAGGGAGCCATCACTCCTGGGCATTCCATCCTCTATCAGGGTTGATTCATCACTGGTCAGCATCAGCTTGTTAACTTGGCTGTTGTTGGATGTCCGGATGCTGGATATGACAGGAAAGGACATGGTACAGATAGCCAAATAAATACAATTTAGTATCCAACAATAAGAAGTGATGCAAATTAGTGCATTTTTTTAAAGGAATCTTACCTTGAATAGAGAACACACAGCAAAAACAAAACCAGTCCTACAATCCCTTGTGCATCCCACCACTGCACTACCTGACCTTGGGTTGGAATGGTGGTGCTGTTGTAACCAATGATGCTCAGCAGACTGGGGTTACAGCGCCTGTCTGTGAAGGAAATTGCATTAGAACTTACATAAAACAAGAACAGGACAAATATTTAATAGCACATTTCCATGATGAATGCACAGAAATAGAAAGGAACGTCGTGACTGTGACAGTCTTTAAGTAAAATCTGAATTTAATTTTAGCCTACTGAATCTCTCTAGAGCAGGGAAATGACAGTATATGGCATAAAAATCTGTGCCTTTGAGCAGATAAAAGGATTCTGAACTTATGTAAGCTATGCATCAACTGCTTTACTATTCCATCTGACATAATTACATGCAACAAAACAGGAATTTCTGCATAATAAACTTCAGAAATTCTACTGCTAGAGAACAAGTTTGACAAACATATTCTATAGATGGGGTACCCAAGTCATCCTAGAACTGGGAAACAATGCCAGTAAGTCAGTTTTTTTATTATGAGTAGTTCCCAACCCACAGCATCCACAGGTAATACTGATGAAACAGCTGAAAGTAGTAGTCAATCTTCTTTTCCCATAACCACTGCCTGAATTAGATGACTCATGTATTCCATGACACAGAAACACAGAAGATTGTCCATAGCTAAGACAAAAGGGTCAGAGACCAAATTAAAACCACTAAAATCAATATCTGGTGATTTATTTTAATCATCAGAATTTATGTACTTATTTATTTTTAGAGACATTCAACTGTTTCCAGTCACAATAAACATTGACAACATTTATTAATACTTGTAATAAATCCTCAACTAGGAAAAATATAATCAGTAGTATCTTGGTCACCTACGAAACATGAAACCTGGTAGAGAGATGAAACTCCTAGACTGCTCAGGGGAGTTGCACTGATCTGCAAAATCTAAGCTTTAGAATACTGCAGCTCTGTCAATGAAGAGCAGAAATTCTTGCATGCCATACAAGCAGGGGGAAAAGTTGTCCTAGTAGAGGTTACAGAGGGGGTGGAGCTCAGAGATGTGTCAGCAAGGCCAGGTTGCTATTTTATATCTCATAGCTTTGGGGGGAGGAAAAGGAAAAGGCGCCAGAAGAAGTGAAACTCTCCCCCTCAAGGGAGCTTGCCTGGACCAGCCACCCTGCCCCCCCCTCCCTGCTGCCCTTATCCCTTCTTATCCCTCAGCAGTGGGCTCCTAGCAGCTCACCTAACTGAGCCCTAACACATGCACATTCTACTACCCTGCTCTAATGCTGCCCTGCAAAAGAGGTGGAAGTGCAATTTATTGCTGAACTGGTTACCCAAAAAGCTCTACATTGCTACTACACTTACCTGGCTCATTGGTCATGGCTGACCAAGTCAAATACATTGTGTAAATTGTGATCACCGAAGACTGCAGCAAACCAGATCTTGGCTGAGATTCCTACAGAAAGGAGTCACAAAACAGGGAAGTTAGGCAATCAAAAGTTGTAGGCACAATTATACTGTGATAATACAGGAGGCAACAGAATTAAAATCATACCTGAATCCTTGGCAGAATTGACATCACAGAAGCACCAATGCACAGGAGCATATTAACACTGATGAATGTCTTGTTTTCAGAACAACCTTCTGGATGAGTGTAATAAACATAAAACAAGACAATAGCTACTAGAGATAGCAGATAGTTGACAGCTGTAGCTGAGAGCAGAGCTGTGAAGAAACA